ATGTTTCATCGTTGCTACCCTGCACCCTGATTAGCTCGTCTCCTCCCCAAAACCTTTCAGCAGGGGGGTGTTCTGTTGCCAGCCGATGGACTCTAAGTCTCCACTCTGCACTCACCCATCTTCACAATGACATGTTTTCTTGTTCCTTGATGCCTGACACCCGATCCCTTCAACAGCTCATGGTCACACATACTGGTCTGCTTCTTCCATGTGGGTTTTGTTGCTTCTGAGCTAGTTGGCCACTTGTTTATCTTCCAGCCTTTAAGACCCCAGATGCTATATATAGAAGGGATCAGTTACCAGACATCAAAGAACTTAAAATCATATCGGTGGGTGCCCGCTCTACTGACACAATCACTGAAGACAAACGTGTGCATAAGCAAATGTGGTGAATAGAGCTAACAGTGTCCAGCTATCAAAAGATATAGCTTCTGGGGTCTTAAAGGCTTGAAGATTAACAAGCGGCCATCCAGCTGAGAAGCATCAAAGCCCACATGGAAGAAACACACCAGCCTGTATGACCACGAGGTGCAGAATGGACCAGTTATCAGACATCAAAGAACTAAAAATCAGATCAGTGGGTGCCCACCTTCCTGATACGATCACTTAAAACAAAGAGGTGCATAAGCAAAGGTGGTAAAGAAAGCTGATGGTGCCTGGCTATCAAGAGTATTTAGTTTTAAGAGGACTTTAGGGTACATTTTTGGTGTAAGGCCCAAAGATGATCTTGGGCAACAGTTTCAGGGGTTCGTCTAGCCTCCATGTCTCTAGAAAGTCTGGAGTTCTCAGGAATGTGATGTTGTATTATGAACACATTCCCACCCTTTTGATCTGGATTCTTCTATAGACTTTCTGATTTTGCTGTCCTGGTATGGTAGCTAGACATCATCTTTTTTTTTTTTCTGGTTTCCTGGCAAAGGAGGCAGATGCTCATGGAAGTGATTAGCAACACATTCCATCTCCACTTCCCCTTCCACGTTCCTTCGTTCTAAGTCCCATTCTTGAGCCTACTAAACATTTGGTCAGAAACCAAGTCCTGCCTATTCTGCTCTCTAAATGTCTGACCAATCTGTTGCCACTCTCTATTTCCACTACCTTTGTGACTGCTAGGCTTACACAGCTGAGGACATCTATATCTATATGTATATCTATATCTATAACCTCGTCACTGGTGTTCCCTGATCTGCTAGCAATTTGCCAGTTGAGTTAGCTTTGGCGAAATGCTGAAACACTTCATGGAACTCCTGGTTCTACAATGCCTACATAAGTGGAGGTCTCCAGTGAATAGCATTTCATGGTGATTCACAACTTGGTGCCTGACTCAGCTCATCTCTTTCCCCTTCTGTGCCCATATTTAACTTTTCACCAGTTTCTATACAAGGCAACTTGTTTCTATTAGCATCATACTGTTGCCCATACATGCCCTTCAATCTAGAATATCTTTTCTCCTTGTTTCTGCCTAATCACTCTGTAAGGCCAACCTCCTCAATAATGCTTTCTTCCATTTCTTTAGAAACTGACCTGGGCCATTTTGCCATTTTGAACGGCAAGCTCCCTCTATGTTTCTTTTTCTTTTTATCCTAATAAGAGTATCTGGTACACAATAGTCCCTTGGTGAAGTTTGACGACATGCTTGTTGACTGATGGATGAATGTAAAGAAGACTTCACACATTCATGCAATTGTTGAGTATACAAAGCCCACTTCAATGTCGTGGCTTGCAAGAAATTTGCTATATCTATAAATACATGCTGTTTTTAGGTTAAGTATGCTTTAGAAATGGCTAAAAAGTCCAGGGTTATGGAAAAATAGAGCCTTGGGAAGAAGTATTAAATTAGTAATGTTTGAACCTCCCAAAGTTTCAGCTCAAAGTCTGCAGGATTGTTATGTAGTAAACTACTGAGATGTCTTCCCTGTATTGTATTTGCATGTGGGTCTTCTCCATACTGTGTTGCTTCAGACTTCTTTTAATATCTTCTAAGGTCTATTATTTCCTCCCAAGGTGATCTCACCTCAGGCTTTAAGTCCGTTTACACACTGGTGACTCTCAAATGACATTTTGAGTCCCCAATTCTTTCCTGGACCCTTCTCTTTCATACCCACTTCTGATCATTTCTACCCCAAACACCTCGGTTCAAGACACTCACTTCTGTGGACTCCTCACCTGGCCTCCTGCCTGTACTCTCTGCTTTCACCCTTGCACAACAGAAAGCACGGTATGCTCAGCCTGGGAAGGAGGGTGATCCTC